TTTGAATTTGATAGCCTTGTCTCTTTTGTGTTCTACGTTACCTGGCTCCTGTTGTGGTAATTGGTCACTCTCTCATTTCTTTTTACATGTTTTAACTTGTTCCTCATTGTATAAGGTGTGTTATACCTGTCCGAATGTTATTGTACTTTTTGCTTTGTTTGACTCCGCCTGTTTCTATGTACTGTTTGATATCTAATAAAATAAAATATAATTAAAAATAAATAAATGCATCTTACACAGCTGCGACATTGTTCTACAAATTCAGGGAACCGGATGACTCTTTAGGAGGAACAACAACAGGAAAATACAACTTTTGCATATATCAGCTTGTGATGTCCTCCTGCATTCTTTTGCTCTTTACCGTGTGGTCTATTTAAAGACTAAGTGCTTTTTTTCCCTTGGATCACAGACACCGCATCACATTAAAACCAAAACACCATGCCACAGTATAAATAGAAAGGACAACAAAAAAAAGTCTGTGCATGAAAAGCAGAATCTATTATGCCCTCAGCAGGCAGCTCATTCCTCAATAAAAGGCCCAGAGCGGCCACCATATTAATGGCTTTGGTTCCTAGGTTGCCTAAGCTAGGCTCCATTTTATAGCTGACACATTCAGAAATCATCCAACACCTGGCTATAAACAGAAAAGTATTTCTTTCCGGAGGAAAAATCCTGCTGTCCACTTTTCTGACAGGTTTGTTTCAAATCTGTATTTTATGTAGCCACATTCCGGGAGTAAAAAGCATTTTTGTATTCAGAAGCAGTGACACTGAAAGGATGGATATTAGTCCCGGATTACTGTGCTGTTGTTAATTATTTCAAATTGAATATTTTCCAGTCTCCTGTGCTTGATTTTTAAAAATCTTTTACTGTATGCCTGTTTTCAATATTGGCTGTAATGTTTATTATTGTTTTTAGATTTAACAGTATTGTAAACTATCATGTGTTCCCTTGAAGTGGAAAGGAAGAGTACAAATTGTCCAAATACATAAATAAATGCCCCTATAAGCTCACGTATGATGAGTCCCTAGCAGCTTCCCTTGCAGAATCATTTCCCAAGAATTTACAAAACACATTCTGTGGTTCAAAGTGCTCTTAAAAAAACAGTCTTCACATATTCATATGTTATTTCAGCAAGTAAGAAATTTTACAGATCTTTGACACACAAACAGCTTTTCCAAGAAACCAAATGCTCCATTTGATTGCTTTCAGCATATCAGATATTAAGATATTTGGTTAACTAACCTATACTCCAAAAGAAGGCAATGACATGGCTGCTTATGATTGTGAAGTCAATCAAGTCTAAGTTCTGAATGCAACTATTCTTGGATTGCAAAAAGTAAACATGAGAGAATTTATGAGAATTTATGACGCAACCACGTCGCTCACGTTGGGGGTGTGGCCCCGATCGTCGGAGGAAAACTCTATGGTTTTCCCTCCGACGATTGTGGCCATGCCCTCAACGTGAGCGACGTAGTGCGTCACTTCCTGTGACGTGCTGGCGGCGCGCACATCGCCAGAGAGTTCCTGGAGCCCGGCGAGGCTCCCCCACCACCAAGGTAAGTAGACTTGGCAACCCTACTCCACCTGCAGCAGCTTTGCACTAGCTCTGCTTCCTAGGAGTGAACCACCCCCACTTTGGGCAAAGCCTTTTATCACTTCTACCCAGGCAACATACTCTACTATTCTACTGGTGTAAGTCCCCCCCCCCCAAATCCTGTTAGCCAATCACAGGGTCCAAAGGGTGACTTGGGATATTTAGGCCCTGATAGCTACTCTAGTACAGGCTTCCCTGGAGCTACTAGATCTCCCTAGTGTTTGTAGGTCACACTACTATAGGCCTAGGATTATGACGGGGGGAACAAACAACTTGTGATAGACACCTCAGTTTCCCCTGTATTCCTTTCCACACACTATTTTCCTGCTCCTGGCAGCCCCCATATCATTTCCCCCTTCATTCTCACTCACCAACCAACATACCTTTTATCTGCCCCATCTTCAGCTGTAGACCCAAAGCAGCTTACATCATTTTCTTTTATCTTCACAACAAATATGTGAGGCATGTTAGGCTCAGTTTGTGTGACTGGCTCAAGGTCACCCAGGAAGCTTCCATGGCAGAGTGGAGATCTGAACTGGGTATCCTAGATCACAGTCTGAAACTCTAAATACTATACAACATTGATTTCTATGTGGTGACGGGTGTTGAACAGTGCCTGGGTGAGTCATGGAACTCAAATGGTATCAAGTTGCCCAGTGGTTGCTGGTGGACCAGGCCCTCCTGAGTCCTCCCTCAAATGCCAAAACATCCCTAGAAAGAGCCAAGCCTCCCCTCCCCCCACCTTTTACTGACAGAAACCAAGGCATTACTGTTGTGCTTTCCTAGGAACAGCCAGAAAGGGTATTTGTTTCAAAGCTACAGGCACAGCTTCTATTATTTGGGTATTTGTTTTAAAGATTTCAGATTTTTCTGCAATTCTGGGACTTTTCTCAGGTTGTAGAAAGATTTTTTTCTGTTCATGGCTCCAGTCTCTGGATTTAAACATCCACAGATCTGGCCACATTAAGAATTAGATAAATTGATGACAGTGATTTAGAGGCAGTTATAAATAAGACTTGTGGATTTTTTCATTGAGAACGAAGTAGAATATTTGCACATTCCAAGATAACACTTTTAAATATTAATCAATACAAATGAGCTCAAGAAAGCTCTTTGTGTTTACAAGATGCCGGATTTAAATATAGACCAAATGTTCCATCTTCATTGACTATTCAAGTCATTAACCAATGGATGAAATTTTCAAATTACCCCAATTTAAAATTGTCTTTAAAAGGCATAATTAGTTAAAACCAATATTATATAAACAATTTGCAAAAACTGTAGTTACACCAGCTAATGACAAACCTGTTAGCATTAATAACCTATGTGGCTTTGCACCATTAATATACTATTTAATAATGTGATTAATAATTTTGAATTTCCCCCTTAAATATTAGCAATTATAAGATCTATTAAAATAACATTTTTCTTTATCCACTGTTAAGAGAAAAGCAGAAAAATAAAGGGAGCAGATATCACTATGGAGAATATACCTTACAGATGCTATCCATTCTTCATGTATCAGTCCCTATGTGAGAGTGAGAATCAGTGAACATAAATATGACATATGAAATGGCAATAGACAAAAAAATTGGGTGAACATTTTAATTTTCCTGGACATACTCTTGCAGATCTGAAAGTCTACAGTAAAACTTCAAAAGGAACAAATAATGCGAATGAGCTGAATTAGAATTCACTGAGAAACTAAACATCTTGTGTTGTCCTGGCTTAAACAGAGACTTGGGATTCCTCACTCATTATAATTTCTAATAACCTAAGAGGACCCTATTTTTAATAACTTCAATAGATGGTTCTTATATCATACCATTACCCTTTACTGATGTTGGCCAGTTTGCTTCAAACTGCCTCTTCCTTAATGTTTCTTTACCCTACTTTATTGCAGTTTTATGTTCACCACATGAGAGGCCAGAAACCTTTGGCCTATCCCATCATCTGTTAAAAGTACTCAAATAGTTCAAGCATCCACATAGAGAATCTCACCCAGTTTATTACACTAGGCCTCTCTCGCTCAAATCCTCCTTTCGCCTCCCCTTCTCTAATTTTGTTTCACTAAAACTCAAACTAGAATAAATGTTGCCCGTCTTTAGAGTGCCACAATAGACTACCCCAGTGGAATGGTCAAAGGTCACACTGTGAGTTTCACAGTGAGCAAGCATTTTAACCTGCATTTACCCAGACCCATTCCAACACTCTATCTCAGGGGTGGATGTCAGCGTCACAGCACTCACCAAGTGTTTTAAGAAAGAGGGTGTGGCCAGGTGGGGCTTCTGCACAGCAGGGCTTCTGAACGATTGTGCAATTTTTTAAAAGTTACTTTGGCAGCAGCTCCCACAACAACAAAAGGATCTTAACTGCATTACTGACGGTGTCTGTATGCAAAAATGTTTTAAACAATGTTAATTTTAAACGGCATTCTGTTCAACAGAGCTTTTGTCTGAAGAGTTACTGTTAGTTATGCATGACCTCACTCCCTGACATCATGTGCTTGGCTTTGCGTTCTTTGGCAGCCATTTCATGGTTGTGCCCACCACCCCCTGTCAAAATTCCAAATGTGCTTGCAGGCTCAAAAAGGTGTGGGACCCCTATCTAACCATACCGTATCAGCTCTTCAGTAAACAAATGCAAAATGGCACTATGAGGAATAATTTCAGAAAATGTATAGCATTTTTGCACTCAGAGGAATACGTAAAAAATCCATTCCCCCTCCCCCACAATACATGGGGGGGAAATGGAGGACATCAGTCTGCAGATAAGCAGTTCCAGGTTAGCATCCATTTTACAGGGCTATATACTCTTCCCTCCTCAATTGCCACACATGTGCTGTTATTGCTTCACACTGTACAGCCTGCTTTAGATACAACTTTTCCTCCTGGAGAGTATTCTGCTCAGGGACCTCCTCCCCAGATTTATACATGAGAATTTAAAATGTTTGTGCATACTAGCGGATATACAGAATGCTTGAAAGTACAAGTCTGTCAGAGCATTCCATTCATAACAAGATTTGGGGATCATTCTTGTTTCACACTCAAATTGCTAAAGGTGCCTTCTGCAACTTTCACCAACTGCACATCTCACAGTAATATATGAAGCAGTTAAAGCAGTACAAGTATTTTACTTTGAACAGTTCATAAGGTGATGCCAAAATCTGCATGGGTATCCAGATGTGGCACTGGATATAACAAATGCAAAGAGTAAGCAGAGAAAATGAAACAGAAGATTCATCTTCAGACTCCGCTGCAACCCAAATTTAAAAATTAAAAAGAAAATTAAACAGACAATGGGTTCAGTCTAATGAACCGTTAATAGAAAATGTTGATTAGATGAATCCTTGAATAGCCAAAAATCTGCTTCTGACGTAACTGAATGAGAGACAGCTTGGGGGCTGAAGCTCAAGGGAAGATGGGCAGAGGTCTCCTCCTCCCTTCTTGCATGAGCTCTTCTTCCATGAATGGAGAAAAAACTTATGCAAATGAGCGGGGGGGGGGGAGGAGTTCTACTGTAGCCTGCCATGCTCCACCCCTCTGCTCCTGGAACAGCTTTTGTAGGAGGGCAGATCATCCCATGAACTTTTCTATGTGAAAATACTTCCTAGAGTAATATACTTGAAGTAATGAGTTCTATACAACTATAGGCAGGCTAAGGCCAAAACTCGTGTGTTTTCCCACTAGAATTAGTGATTCCCTTTAAATGATTCATAGCCTTCATGTCCTCATTTGCTTTTTCTCTAGGCTGACGGTGTTCCTAAATCCTTAAAACTATAAAAGGTTACAGATTTAATTAAGTGGTTAAATAAATATCAGTTGAATGTTTCCAATACACAAAGAGGTGGGGGTACTTAAGCACAAGATGAGACTTGTAGTCAACTCTGAGGTTTCATCGGAGGTTTATCTACTACTGGTATTTCTTCTCTCATTTTATGAAATATTACCGTTTAGAGCACAATTATTAATGGTTCCCAAGAACACAGCTAACATTCTCATTTCCAGGAAAACCAATTTGAATTTGTACCAAATAATCAATTTTTATTCAGATACAATTATCTGAAACACGAGGCAGGTTCTGAAGGTCTCTCTCTCAAAAGTTGGTTGCTGAATTATCTTCACTGAAGACTGTATGTCTGTTTCACGTCTTTAACTGAAAGAGTTATTATGAGTGAACGTGGATCTTTTCTGCTTTTGCGGATAGTTATCTTTCCTTTCAGTTCTTCACCTACAAAAACCAAACACAAATCCAGAAACTCTATTAAATGACAAATAAATTACAACATACAGTGGAGTTAGGCTTATTTTCATTGAATGACTGTTGTGTTAAAAAAGTATACAACATACATGACCAGTGGGTGGGGGATTTCTGCTGGTCAGGTTTTGCTGTCTCTTAAGCAGTACATTTTTTTTTGGGGGGGGGGAGGTTCATCCCAGACATTGACTTGCTGAGCTCTCCTAACCACAGGATTAAAATCCAGTCCCATCACTTCCCAAGAAAAACAGAACTCACCCATTATGAGTTTTGCACACATAGTAGGAACTGACTGGTCATTAAGGCCACTGGGAAAAGTTTTGGTGGCCACCTGGAGCAGCTCCCCCACCGGAGCCTTCCTAGCCCAAGTGAGAGATGGCTGCAGTCTGCTGCTGTTGTGAATAGGCACCTTGTTGCCATGCCAGGCCCAGTTTCACCTTGCCCCGTGTGGTGAAGGACTGGCTTGAACAGCTTTACCATGTCCACTAAAAGACAAACCTGGACTCATCCTGCCCAGCAAGGGATGCATCTAGCCTGGCTCACATTGCCTGGCAAGGGACCAACAAAGGTATGAGCTTTTGTGTGCATGCACACTTTTTCAAATACATTATAAATTTTGCTTTCTTCTTTCTATAATCCATGCCTCTTCCTGTGATTACATTCTGATGACATGCTGTGTTTCCTGTTGCTGGCCAAATAGTCCAGGGCAGACCAACTGGCCGGAGAAACTTTATAACCATGCCATATAACCACACATTCTTTCACACCTCTATGTGGAAGAGGCAGACCTAATGGCTCTTGTCTCTGCCTCACATGCAAAAAGTCACGTAGCCGATGGAGAAGCTGGAGTTTGGGGTCACCTGACTGCAGAGGGAGTTCCCAAACCTATAGCCTATCCCCACATGTAGCCATAACAACCAAATCTTGGGCACTCCCATTCCCACTCGCAATTGGCTCCTGGCCAGGGCTAATTTGTGACTGGAATTGGCCTATAACTGGTCATTCCCTATGGGAGAGACTCTCTCTGTGTTCTGCTCCTGTTCCCTCTACTTGTTTTATTCTACCTGGAAAATGCTGTCTCTCTGGGAGACAAAGAACTGTTTTGTGAGCTGAGTACATGGTTGGTAAAAATGGGATTTCTCCTACTCAAATTCCCTTGGTGCTACTCTTGACTGTTTGGATTTTCCTGAACTTGGTAAATATGCATCTTTTACTGTGTAGTTAAGGCAAACAGCCCTAGCCTTTCTTGTTTTGAAATCTTCATAGTTTACTTGCAATGCTCTGGACTGAATAAAAAATTATTCTTATTTCTAACCTGTCTTTGATGTTGTAACTGGGATTCCAAGTCTGTTTCCTGTGCCTAACTGACCACAAGCTGCCATTGAGCATTAGGTGTGCATCTCTGGGAATGAGGTGCTAATGTGTTAAACCCTAGATGCCAACTGAGATTTTGAACCTCTAATCTCAGATTGGGAGGGGGATTATTGTAGAGGTTCTGGTGGCATATTGTTCTGAATCCAGAGAGGGCAGCCTACCTCTGTGGGTTGTTGTTTAATGTACTGCAAAAGATACAGGGTTCCCTCCCATTCCTGGACTGGCATGGGTGGGCTATCCTATACAGTAGAGTTCAAATTTATAGACAGAGGCTGAACAGCAAATTAACATGTAACATGATGAAGATGTTTTAAGATATGCAAAGACAAAACTAAACAACAAGCTAAGGTTATAAGGTCAACAGTTGTTTTGATTTACTTAAGGGGGAAAGGACAGCATTTTAAAATTCTATTCCAAAAATCCACCCTCCTCCCAACAGCCACTGAGAACATGGAGATATATTCACAAATGCACTTTTTACATTTTTGTGTGGGTGTATGTGTGTGTGTGTGCCTGGAAGTCATGGCGACCTCTGGTGACTCCTACTGGGGCATGGAGGACGTTCAGAGAAGTGGCTTGATAGCCTGCCTCTGCCTCCTGACCCTGGTATTCTTTGGCGTTCTCCCATCCAAATACTTCCCAAGGTCGGTCTGGCTTAGCTTCCGAGATCTGATGAGATTGAGCTTGCCTGGGCTATCCAAGTCAGGGCCAAATACACATTTTCAAAGACAGTGTATGTCTCCCCCTAATGCTAGTCTTTAAAAAATAGAAAACCTTAAGGGAGTGTCCACATTTATTTAAAATATGCCAAATATAACTGGACACAACACAAATATACTTATACATGACAGCACAGAAGACTAAATTCAAATGGTTTAACACAGCTCAAAGAAAGTGTTTTCATAATCCTAAACATATGGGCAAGTTGATTTAACTGTAGAGCTATAATTCTCCCCCCAGGTGATTTTATTGTTATTTTATCAGAAAACATCGTCTTGGTTTAATTGCATGAAAATGAATTAAAGCTGCTATTTAAACAACCCTAGTGAAGCATACCTTGAGGCAAACTCTAAGAAACAACATTTCTGTAACAACCTACTACGGTTTCCATTAAGGACAGTCTTCAGTTATTTATAACCAAGTTAATTGCATTAAGCAACACAGACAATCAGTTTAATTCATTGTCATGAGGCAGATCTGTGCCTCTCCTTTGCCCCAACTGGCCACATTAAATCTTCTTTTGTGAAGAACCATTTCTGCAGCTGAAGTAAGGCAATGGCTGTGTAATCATAACAGAGAGGAGGATCCAACCAATTAATCAATGCCATGTAGATATAAAATGACTGATGCGCTATCAACACTCTCCTGCTCTGTACACCGCAGAGAACGTTCTGTTAAGCCGAGCTGCATCACCTAAGCAATATGAGATGCAAGCAAGGTCCCAAGTCACGCCAGAGTTTGATCAAGACAGAATGCATTTTCATTCTACTGCAGTATTGTTATCCTTTAGAATACACTGAATTTGCTTTGACAAGTATGAAAAACTACAGCACAGGCATACAATTAGTATGCTGGTTCGACAGCACACAAAAGGGTGTGGTTACATTTTAGTGCTTCTAAATGGCAGTTCTCTATGGCGGAGCACACTATGCCTGTTTGATGCTGAGCCTCTTACATCTCATATAGCATGACAATTCAAGCTGCCTAATGGAATGAGGGTGAAAAAATAAATTTATGTTGTTAAAGGAACAATCGGGAATGTTGCTCGTATGGAACCAGGGAAACCATAACGGAAAAACTAGCACCAATGGCAATTATCCACATTACAAATAATTATAACAGAATGAAGCAGTGAAAATAGGTGAGCATGATTACACACAGGCCCTCCCAGAGATCCACAAGGCCCAGGCCAAGCGTCTAAATTTGAGACCCAGGCCAAAATAGTTCTCTTAGCTCCCCTCTGACTGGCCCAACCTCAGTGGAACAAGACTCAAAAAGGAGGGAAAAGACAGTTGTAGATTTTAGTAGACATCATTAGATATAGTATCATTTCAAATCCTGTGAAAGCCAAGGGAGGGTGGGGTAAAGCTACAACATAAAGCAGCAAGCACAAGGATGGCAGCAATGAGAGACTGTCACTCAAAGTGTATATGAGCCACTGGAGAAATAATTCTCAGTTAATCAGCAAAACAGAATCAAAAGAAAAAGCCCCTCCCCTTCCAAGGAAGGGCTTCGACAGGTGGGCTCATTTGGATTTCTTCCAGGACAGCTCAGATAATATCAAGACCGGGGATAAGAGAAGTGCAATCTGCCGATAAGAACAGACCTCACCGTCCCCACTGTGGACTTTCCCTGGCTCCCCATAAGGTCTTATCTTTCAGCTTTCAGGGTTTTTTTTTTCTTTCTCTTTTACGTACAACAAGAATATTACAAAGCCATAATTAAAGCAGTTTAACGAAGATCTATCCCCCCCCCCCAAATTTGGTTTCATTTTTACATCATGATGACTCCTGTATCTTGGAAGGTAAATATTTTGCTCTGACTGGCAACGTAAAGAACCTACAAATCTTTCAGAACTGAGGGGGAGTGAATTAGACTAACAGGCTGCTATCTTCAGTTAAGCTTACAATATAATGAATGAATGTTTTTAAAGGAACTTTCAACACTTCTCTTCTCTTAAGTACAGTTCATATAAGTTTGATTCTGGAAATACAGATATTTTTGTTGTTCAGTCGCACAGTCGACTCCGACTCTTTGCGACCCCATGGACCAGATCACGCCAGGCCTTCTGGTCTTCCGCCGTCCTCTGAAGTTTGCTCAACTTCATGTTCGTTGCATCTATGACACTGTCTAACCATCTCATCCTTTGCCGTCCCCATCTTCTTTGACCTTCAATCTTTCCCAGCATCAGGGTCTTCTCCAGTGAGTGCTCCCTTCTCATTTGGTGGCCAAAGTATTTGAGCTTCAGTTTCATTATCTGGCCTTCCAGGGAACAGTCAGGGTTGATTTCTTTGAGGATTGACTGATTTGTTCTTCTTGCAGTCCAAGGGACTCTCAAGAGTCTCCTCCAGCACCATAGTTCAAAAGAATCTATTCTTCGGCGCTCGGCCTTCCTTATAGTCCAACTCTCACAGCCATACATGACTACTGGGAATACCATTGCTTTGACCATGCGGACTTTTGTTGGCAGGGTGATGTCTCTACTTTTTATCATGCTGTTTAGGTTCGCCATCACTTTCCTCCCAAGGAAATCTTTTAATTTCATGGCTGCTGTCACAGTCTGCGGTGATCTGGGATCCCAGGAACGTGAAGTCTGTCACTACTTCCACGACTTCCCCTTCTATTTGCCAAGGAGTGATGGGGCCGGATGCCATGATCTTAGTTTTTTTGATGTTGAGCTTCAAGCCCACTTTTGCGCTCTCCTCTTTTACCCTGAGCAAGAGGCTCTTGAGGTCCTCTTCACTTTCTGCCATCAGAGTGGTATCGTCTGCATATCTGAGGTTGTTGATCTTTTCCCCAGCAATCTTAATTCCCGCTTGTGATTCATCCAGGCCAGCATTTCGCATGATGTACTCTGCATATATATTAAATAAGCAAGG